CGCTATAACAAACATGTAAACGCATAACATACGAGATGCTGTTTGGAACCTATTCGAGTATTCTGTTATCTTCACATCTATTTTTAATGTATGTCACCGAAACTCTCACACGCTCTTAGGTAGGTAGCATCATGTAACACAAACCTTCTGTCCGTTTTCTATGAAAAAGTCTCCACTCTCGAGATGAGTTTAAACCATAAAATGCGACCCGCTGAGTGCGTAAAGACATACGAAATTCTCATCAGAAATATGAAAGCATTTTTATTATTTGTTGGACGAAAATAACATAAATTCAACTCGACTGTCTCTCTGGCTTGCTTCGGTTTAAGTCCCATTCTACTTGGTAGGCACGTAGGTAAAATCCTTCTTACTTACAAAATAGGTAAAGATCAACTGCATGGTTTTCACTTTTGACTAAACCATTAAGTTTAAGGAAAATACATTTAAAGCTGGTTGAGTTTCACCACTTTAGAAGCACTTACAAACTCAAAAACAGTGATTTTTTTCGGTGTCCGCTCATATGACCAACAAAATTTTCAAAAAGCGCAAATAAATAAGCAAATTGGACCCAAAAAAAACCTTGAAACACTGATGTTTTCACTCAGCAGAAGAGGTGAACCGACAGGAAGAACGTTTGCTCAGGTTGAAATACAACATGCTTTTTTCTTCAATATTTTGACGCTGAAAAATGCATTTATCTGGTTATTTCTTGCAAACTAGTAGGCGTTCATTGAGTTTTAAAAATTCAAGAAATCGGTCAAGCAGCGAGATGTTTGAAAAAAAGTTTTGTCTTAAAAAATCTGCCATTCAGTAAATTGACTTTAAAAACTAATAAATGTTCTTCACAAAAAAATTGGGTATTATTTATAATCCCCTGTGTATAACGCTGCTGACCAAAGGGGGCAATTATGAACACAAAGGAAGATGTTCTTTCTTAGAATTCCGATTTCATTCTTTTACACTCCCAATCTCTGTATGAAGCAAATTTCTAGGAACGTTAATAAAAACTTTTCAGATTATATAAATTTTTAAAATTTTAGCCCTCCACACCCGTGAAATTTCGAAAAATAAATTTTTTGAAACGTGACTTCACTTTGCGTCCACTCCATTACACCATTAAATAAGAGGCCAATCATTTTCTCATCCACTTTAACAATGTTTGTCTGTCGGGAAGAATATTTTGTATTATTCTTAAGATAAAATAAAACACTGATTCAGATGCATAAAATGCCGCATTAAAACGCCTCTTTGATCAGGCAGAGCGATTTTTTGCTTTATTTTCTAATATAGCTTCAACACTTTCGATTGGGTCACCCAGTATTTTCTAGATTATTTCAAGCATTTGATATTTTTTCATATAAAAATCTTAGAAAATACGGATGGCATCAAAGAAAGGAAGGTTTGGCCTGATTTTTAGTGGATTTGTGCATATTATCAACTGTATAGTATACCCGGTGTCCCGATAAAGGCAATGAGAGGTACGCGCAAAATGGAGAAAAATGTTGTTCGAGTATATTGGGTGCATAAAATGGCCAGAAATGTTGTTAAACTCGAATCGACTCAAATATTTGTGGTCTTTGAAAGGCCACCTTCAGGTCTTTCGAAGAAGAAATTCTGAAGTTTTTTGGATAATTTGGGGAACTATGCAGACATAAGTCTTTTTCCCTTTCAGCCATTGAACTTTTTTTGTTATTTGTCTCTTGGGACATTTGGGATCACTTTTTGCAGATTCTCACCCTGGATAAAAACCACTTGACTGCAAATGGCAAATTTTTGATAATCGCGCCCTAAATTTCCCGCAAAAGCGTTCAAATTGTTAATTTGCCGCCTGATTTGCTCCTGATCGACTACCCGATAAGATAATTCAGCCCCAAATTTAACAACTCCCAAATAAAATATCCTAACGTGGATTTCTGTCGAAAACGTGACACTGCTTGATTTATTAAGTTCGCTTTTAAGTCTCGACTCGTGCTGGTGCAAATCCCCCGTTGAGAGAAACAAAGCCCTCGAACTCGAAGGGACCGAATCCGATCCCTTTTTATTCCCTTTTCATTGGGAGGCATTTTCTTTGTAGCTTCCGCACCGTGCACGCTTTAAGGCACATTTTTTCCAGTATTTCACACATTTACGGTTAAGTCACACACAAACAGCGCACAGAAAGCAGTTCTATTTATTGATACCAAAGCACCTGAAGGTGAGAAAATGATCAAAGCGGCTAAAGAAGGTTTGAAAAGGTCGGGGATGCGATCAGTGCTCCCGCCAACCAAGTTCTTTCGGTAGCTCATTTTTTTTCTGGTGGTGTCCTACTAATATACATAAAATTCGTTGGAAAAATTATGTTTTGACATGAAGAATTGAGTTGGACTCTTTTACTAATAACCGCAATTTTTTAAAAAAAGATTAATACTTTTAGGCAATAATTTTTTAAAGTAAAAATTCTTGATTGCAGTCCAAAATTATCTAGAGGAGTTTATCAATGTAAACACCTACTACAATAGCAGGTGTTCAAGAAACGCAATGCAGTAATAATTATTTTGATTTGTACGTAGGAATGGACATTTTATTAATTAGCGAAAGAGCAACATTCTAATTATAAAGCAATGTCCAGTGGGAAAATGCAAAGCTGTTAAAAAAACAATTTTACGTTGAAGACTATCGCTGTATCTGATGCCAACCATTAAATATTTAAAAATGAAGTTAAAATAGCTAAATAGTTTACGAAATAAATAGCATTCTGTTCAAATAAAGGAATAGATATGTGAAGTTGATGGGCTTCTGAATGAGGGGGAGAACAATAATTATTTTGTCACTCTCTTTTTATAGGCATCTAATAAATTGGAAATTGCATTTTAAATAGCTATTAATAATGTCATTGCTAGATGCAGTTGTCTGCGAAACGGCTACATTTTTCGATATAGGCTTGCTTCTAGGTGTTCTATTTTGTTTGCGTAGCTTCTGTTTGTTCTGAATCCGGCTTTTTAAGGACTTATTGTCCATCTCGTCAGTACAATTTTTAGGGTTCTTTGGTCTTATCATTTGCATTGTCAATCTCAAATTCGTCAAGTTTATTAAAAAAAGGCAGATGGTAAAAGGTCTCATCATGCTTGAGCGCGAAGATTTCTTCATCTGCTCACGTAGGTCATAAAACGCAGCGAGTGGCATAGAAAGTGCGACCTGCGACCCTCGATGGCGTATCAGTCTACCAAAAGACATCGTAAGTCATCGCTGACGCCATAAGAACCATTTCCAGTAATGAGAGTGACATTGTGAGATAACTCGAGATAAGATGTCCAGACAAGCTCGAAACAGCTTCCTGTGGAGTGGGTTTCGGTTGATCAAGCTGCCCAGTAAAACTTCGAAAGAAACGCCCTTAAATTACATCACCAACATTTTTCCCAAAAAATTTGGTAATTAATTGAAGAATATGCCAATCAAAGACACTTTGTTGATATGACCTGCTACGTCACAATCGGGATAGGCAACCGACGATACGGATTCGGCGTTTTTGGCGGAAAATATCTGATTTGAATTTAAATTCGCTGTAAAATTATTATGGAGACTTTTTTTGCAAAAAAATTATGTCAGTGTAATGTTTGCCATAACTACTTTCTATATATCAACATTTAAAAAAAGTGGAAACACCCTATTGTCTGCAAAATGACTTTGCAGCACGTTTTTTCCCCTGTTCTCTTTACATTCAAACAATGTGACCTTTCCCAACAAATTACTCCTTACCTGCCTAATTGCGTAATTTATGCTCTTCCAGCATAGTTTCCGCGCCCTATCAGCCATCAGCATCACATGGTAACGTTTTATCATTAAAATTCCTGGGCGCCAATGTGCTTCCCCTTGTCGTATATCACAGGAACGGGGAAGTGGGTGGGACGAGAGCTCATAAATCCCCGGTAAAGGACGTGTGTGTGTTTTCGAATACCGCTAAATTATCATTTAGATTTCTCCAGTAAATTGATGATGAACGATGTCTAAGTAATTGGAAGAGGCCGAGGTGTGAGTGAGTACGTCGACGTACTTTGCTCAACTAATCTTGATCAAACGGTGTCACTCAATTCGGTTATTAATAGGGAAAACTTTATTTTCCTGCCTGGTAATTGAGTGAAAAACGTCTTTTAAGAAAGCGGGAAAAGGAGGAAGAAATTTGCAATTTGACCGCGCAATTTTAACACAGTTTAAATATTTCCTTAATTTTGGCGGTGAATGTTTTCTCAATCGTTATTCCAATTTTTGTTTCAAAATTCTCAGTCAAAAATTTCAGTTTGCAAAAAAAAATTAAACAAACTTAGTAGGTACTACTTAAATTGAAAAAGTTCGATTTTACTCAAGCTCCTTCTTCCGATTAGAATGGTGCTGTCAAAGGCTCGTCCTTAAGCTATTATTTTTTTTGCAATTTACTTACTTGCCTTTATGCCCAATTTATTATAATATTAAATATATAAAAACTGCCTGGGCGAAACAAGGCGAGTCCAAACATGCATAAACTAGAACAAGATGGAACACACTCTGAAGTGTCACCCAGCTGCAACTGCTGGCATTCAAAATGCATTGCATCTCCTTCTAACAAGTGCATTAGCCCGATGTTTCTCTCCCACCTGAACATTGGCAATCCATCACAAAAGTTGCATGTTTACTTATGCAACTCTTTATAAACCCAATTAAGAAAATTGAATAAATTACTTCAAACTTCCGGTTCTGAACCATCAGCAATCCAGCCCATCTTCATTATTTGCTTAGCTGCAATTATCGCAAAAAATCCAGCGAAATCAGCACTAAACGCCTCATCCGGTCTGTTTCTACCTTAACGCGTCCGTCATAAGCAAAGCCAAACAGAGGAAAGGCTCAGTGAGCTGCATGGCCTGTAGAGAGCGTAATCATCGCCAGGCCAGATGATTGGTCCGGCCGGTCTAGAGGACGCTTTCGATTGGGCGGAGTCATCGTTGACATTGCTGGCGAGGGCGTGGCCTGATCAGCATCCCTAAGAGATGCAAAGAGGCTCAGATGTGCCCCCTCTGTGCCGGCCGAAAAGTTTAGTAGTGACAGTAACTGGCCGTGGAGCGGGATAGTGAATTGGTTTTGGGTGACTTATGGGAGTTTTTTCCACTGAAAGAACGTTTTCGTCCGTTTTGTGCTGAGTGTTAGGCAAAAGGCGCCAGTTTTTCTCTGTGGGATACTGCAACACGGTTTTTGCATGGTGAGTTTTCCTTTGTCTTTATCTAGGGTTGTTGTCGGGAGTTTTTCCTGGTGTAATGTTTTCTCTTTTTGATATTCCCGCTGTGGTCTGAGCCTAAAAGGCAACTCAATGAAACGTTCAAAATTGAAAATTATTAGAGAAATTAACGACGGTTATTACTGATGATATCAATAATTGTAATCAACTTAGGTACATAAATCACGTCAGTGCACCGATCAATTGGGCCGCAACGATATCGAGGAGAATTTACAGTTTCCTGGCGATTTTCTTCATAAATCATTGGAAGATAAATCAACGACTTTTTCACTTATTTTGCTAAACAGAAAGAACTGGAATCGGCAGGCAAAGCTGATTTATGGCTAATTGAATACTTTTATGATTCCGGGCACTATTCAAATCCTAAAAAGTTGTAGAAACTACAGATAAATTGTGATTTTTGCACTCAATATGAAGAATTACTAGCCTGTCTAGTCCAGGAGATAGATTTGATTGACTGTCCAAATGAAATTCAGTTCCTTTCAACGCATGAAAACTTGAGCTCACATTATTTAAACAAGAAATTGTTTCTCAAGGGATTCAGAATTTCTTGCTTTTTTGTGGGGTCTTTTGAACAATTCTTGAACCGAATTGAACGCCAAGCTAAAGTGCAAATTCCAGTCGCTTTTCGAAGAATTGCAAACGATCAATAAATCGTCACTCTTCTCATTGAGGTAAACACGGAATTAATTGGTACATGATGGCGGGCATTGTCTTCAGTCAATAAATTGCATTCAAGAAGCAATTACAATTAACAATTAACAAATTGACCTGCAAGTAATTTATGCGACCTCGGGCGACGGCCGCACTGACTGTAATGAATAGTTTTGCATAAAATGGTTCAACTAGTTGTAACAATACGCTGTCGAGGTGATAATGCAATTAAATCGCTTTAAGAAAAATCGATTAATCCTATTTTAATACGCTTGCGATAAATATTCGTTGAAAACCATGGAATAATTAAATTATCGCATTGTTTTTGTTCACTTTCCGCATAAACTACAAATGACAAAACTTGCAATGAAACACGAAACTGGTGAGTTCTTCCCCGAGGTTTCGTAAACACGAGTGACCGGCGTCTTCAGAGGTGCGTTTGCTACGGGTGGGGACATAAAATTCACAGTTTTTATAGAAGGAAAGTAGGAATGAAAAGTGCTTGATATAAGTTGTTTTATTATTTATAAATTCATATTAAAACGTTTCGCAATCACGAATGGCTGGCATCTTCAGAGGTGTGTCACACGTGGCTTTAATACCGCTGAAGACAGAATAAAAACATCAGAGATAAAACAAAATTAAAGATTAGGTTCATTAATTCATCAAAGAAAAATTAAGAGAGACGGCAACGAACGAGAAAACGACAGCAAAAATCGTTAAGAAGGTTTCAAAAATCAATAATGCATAATGAAGTGTGAAGACCACTAACGGAAACAAGTTAAAACTCGGCAAGGAGAATTGATACAATTAGAGACAACCCGAATCAATACAAGTTGAAAGGTTGGAACAGGAAACGGTAAAATTGTAACGAGGAGAAAACAGGAATTACGTCAACAGTAGAGAAATTGAGTGATAACGAAGCTAAAAGGAAATAGTGGAAACCTATGAAACAAACTTTTGAAAGAAAGGAAGAAAACTGACAAAAGATGAACAGCAATTCGATCCACAAGTTATAGAAAACAGAATTTAATAGGAAATAATGAAAAGTAACCAAAGAAACCTAATTAGTTCTAACATTTTTTCCAAATAAAATTGCTTGAAACAATTAGCTGCAGCCGGAGAAAGCACCAGGAACAACGTTACTGAACAAACTAACAAATAAAGACAGAGAAGAAAAGAAAGACAAATTAAGCATATATTCACTCTGTAACCTGCCCAGCGAGAAACTAAATTCTAAATGCATTTATAGGATCAAGTCCTCTTTGACAAGGAGACAAAGTTTCGATTTTCAGTCGTCATCAGGAAATTTTCGACAATTTTTCAAAATTTATGGGGTTGTTTTTTAAGACCGGAGTTTGATATTCACCGATTTAAGAACTAATGAAGTTAGAAAGTCGCTTTTCTATACAGGTGTTCAAAGGTGGGATTTTCAGTCATCATCAAGCAATTTTTTAAATTTGCGTCTGATTTTCTTGGACTTTCGCAGGCTGGAATTTAGCATTTATTTCCCCTGTAACTGGCGAAGCAAAGAAGTCAGTTTTGGATGTCTTCTGTAGGGTAAAATCTGTTCTACCAGTGGCCTTTAGGTTGTCGTAAAAAATATTTTTCCGGATGTTTCACATGCACGAGCGGCTTGCATCTTCAGAGTTGTGTTCGCTTCGGGCGGCACATATTTCTGTTTCGTTTTTCTTTTGATGGCGAAATAATTTTCCACTGCGGCGTGAAACCCTAAAAATTGACCAGTTTCTAGCAATTGCTGAAATCTTCGACAAGAGGTCCAGATATTTGACTTTAGAATATAACAATAATGCTTAAAAATGAACATAGGCGCACTATTTACCCCACGTTTAGTTCATAGTATCTGATGAATCGTGAACATCACATTAAGATTATGATGAGAAACATTCCGTAGAAAAGTAAATTTGTAATGGCGCAGTCGAGTAGCATCGTCTTAAATCCACCTTCCATTACCAGTTTAAAAATTAATTACTAACATTTCAGCAATCAGTTTTGAATTAAGAGAAATTTAGAAAAGCTTCTACTTCCGGCTGATTTGAGGCAAATTAAATCGCGCAGCGAAAACAGCTAGAAATCGCCAGTTTCAGCATAAAAAAGCTTAAGCACATCTAATTATCTGCGAACATTAATCATGCCTAATCTGGGCTACTTTAGCAGTTTTCTGATCGAAGCGAGTAAACGTGAAGTCTAGCCAAGTGTGGGCGCCTTCCGAAGTCGGAAGTCGATTGGCGACGGAGTATAGCGGACTGAAGACATCATTTCATGGGTATTTTATAGCTGATATGCCACTAGTTACCCATGTAATTGGTGCAGGGCATTTTTGCAGACACGAGCTTCTTACAAGTAGCCAAACTTGGGGATCGTCGGGTTTAGTCTTGCTTTCAAACGCCAAAGAGCTCGAGCTCTGACTCCGACTGTGAGTTTAGTTGGTCGAAACTTTAAGTGCAGCAAAATGTGGGAAGATCAGCAGTTGGTATGTAGGTGATTTGGGATTTCGCGATTGATTTTGTTGTATTCAAATCACACTTTAAACATTTCAAGACTTGCATCGGTTTAACATTTGGTAAAACTGTACTTTGTTCCACTACTACTCCCATTTCTCCCTTGTTTTAGATATTCAACTCAATCATCAACAACATGCTCAAAGAACGAGAGTCGTTTGAGCGAGGTCCCTCCTCTCCATGCTCCAGCATGGGGGCCTCCCCCTTGGGAGAGGCCTCCTCATGTGCAGGATGTGGAGGACGAATCCAAGACCGCTACTATCTGCTGTCAATGAACAAACAATGGCACGCTTGCTGTTTGAAATGCTGCGAATGCAAACTGCCCCTGGACTCGGACTTGACTTGTTTCGCTCGCGAGGGAAATATTTATTGTAAGGAAGATTATTACAGGTGAGTAACCAGCCCAGATGCAGATAAAATCTGACACAGACTGATTTACATTTGGAGAAATCTGATATGAAAATTGTGCATGATGTACAAGAGAACCAGTTGTTCTATGTGGGCAAATTAGGTGCAGCAGCTGGAGGATTCCCACAACTGAACTTTAACTGCCATAACGGAGGAAACAGTTTAAATATTCTCAAAATAGTCCAATTAATTGGACAATGGCAAACGTTTTCGTTTAGGTCTTTTTTTATGTGTGTGTGGAACGCCACCGGAATTTTAATAGGAAAGAATGTCCGACCTCATTATTTTTCCGTTACGTAAGGGAACGATCACCAATTCCGGTTAATTTATGAATGAAAAGAATTGATTATGTTCAACGGACGGTCTCTGGTTGTCTAGGATTTTCTGTATAATTGACAACATGGATGGATTGGTCATTTTTTCGGCGGGAATCCAGATCTCTATCAGTTCTTCGGAAATTCACTAAATGTAACAAAATTTAATGATGAGACTGTTCTGCTGGGGATTTTTCGATTGTTGTTTTAAACCTTCTAGTGTCTATGGTCGATTTTCGATAAGAAATATAGGGAACTGCGTTATTAAGTGTTTTAATAGGTTAAAAACAAGACTTAACTTAAAGAAAATTTAACAATGAGCATAGTTATGGATATAATTCGATAGCAGCTAATTTTACTTAATATTTTATTGTTTACTAATTGTGCATACTTTCCTGACTGTGTTTCAATTCAGTCATTTATTGTCTATTTATTAATTAAAATACGTTTCGGTGTTTTCCACCATCATCAGTTTCTATGTGTAGCGTTGTTACGAAACGTATTTTAATTGATAAATAGACAATAAATGACTGAAGCCCAGGAATTGATTTTGATTGTTTACTAAAAAATTCGAGTTTTATTAACGCTTTGCTTTATTCAACTAGGGCTTTTAGATTCATTCTAAAAAATGAGCCATTTTATAAAATTGGCAAAAATATTCGTTTGCGTTTTTCAAACCTTTTGGTCAATTTAATTGGTTTTTTTGAGTTGGTAAAACCCCAAAGTATATATGCTGCAAATTTAAAGACTGACTTTTCGAAAAAGTCGAAATTAGGGCCCGAAATTGGCGGGTTTCACGATCTGCGGGCAAGACTTTGAAAATTCGGTCTAGTCAACTAAAGCAGGTAAATACTTTAATTTTTTTCCTCATGTTGTTAAGACCTGAAGGTATATCTTGTGCATATGGAAACAATATTCAGCTTAAGGCTAACTTTCCATAAGAATCTAAACTGAGGCCACAAATCGGAAAGTTTGAAAAAAATTGCAGGCAATATTTCAAAAATTCGTCCCGACTCAACCAAAAGAGATCGAAACAAACGTTTTTTCCTGCATATTCCTAATGACTAAGTGCGTAATTTTTGGAAATTCTAAGAAAATCGGTTATCAGGAGGACTTTTCAGAAATTTTTTAATTTAGGCCACGAATTGCGGGTTCAAAATATGCGCGCAAAATTTCAAAACTTTTTTGCTGATGAACCAAACAGAACCAGCAGTTAAGCTCCCCAAATTTTTTCAGTACATTTTCGATAAGTTCTAAGAATTTTCAAACTGAGCCCCAAATTGGCAAACTTGGAAGAATGGCTGGTAATAATGCAAAAATTCCGGCTGTCTGAAGGGAAACTGAACGACACTGAGGTTGGTTCTTGCATGGTTCCAAAATCTAAGGGCGTAAATGTTGAAGTCTAGAGTCAAATTGGGTCGCAGGTTTTCTTTGCAGAAAATGCGGAAAATTTTGAATTGGGACCATAAGATTAAATCGGCGGAAAAAATTAATTTTTTTTCTAGATACTGAACCAAAGCTCGCACAGACTCGAGACTTTTCCAGTTCATTACTAAGGTTGAAAGGTATAAATTGCTCTTGAAAAGGTGAAAATTCGATCCTGCAGCTATAATTATGTTACAAATTTGGAAAAATTACAGGCATTTTTTGAAAACGTCCTTTCGACTGAACTAAAGTGATCGGAAATTGATTTTTTTACTGTGGCTTGAAAATGTCCATATTCGTACAATACGTAAATTGCAAAATCATTGCGGTGCGAACTGACTATCCAGAAAGTTTCGATTGAAGACCAAAAATTGGCGGATTTTAAAATGAACGAGCAAGATTTTTAAAATTCCTGCTTCTCAAAGGAATAAATTGTGCAAATTTCATCAACAGTAAACAAAAGTGTAAAAGTGTAGCTGCAAATTTGCAATATTTCAAAAATGTCTAGCATCTAAACCAAGACAGTGCCAGATTTAACTCTTTTCATCCGTGCTTCCAAAGCCCTACTGTATAAATGCGGAAAATTTCAAGAAAATTGCACGACAAGCAAACTTTCCGAAAATTTCGAATAAATACCACAATTTGGGACGCAAAAATTGGGAGCAATAATTCGAAAATTCCTGCTGACTGATCCGCAACCAGAGGAGATTTAAGTTTTCGGCTGGAAGTTGCCAAACCTCGTAAGTCTAAATGCTGCAAACTGTAACAAAATTAAGTCACAGACAAAATCAGACTCGAATAGTGAACTAATGAGAAGAAGGCAGTAAATTCTTTCTGTAGGTTTTAACAAAGCAAACGAAACGCAACTGAATATTCTGAGTCAATTAATATGAAAACTGGCCATGGATCGATAACTATCGAAAGGAAAAATTCACTCGGGTGTTGTCCATTTTTAATAATCCCGGTTATTCAAAGAAAAACAAATTTGTGGGAAACACGCATCTGCTAGTGACTTGTGACTAAGTTTGTGTAGGCTGATATGGTTGTCAGTTCACATAACTGGTGATTTTGCTTATCGACACTTCGTATCAAAATATTTTCCGAGGCGAATGGGGCGGAAGCCTTTTATTCCACTGTTATGGATTCAATTTAATACGCGATAATTGAAGTGAACAACCTGAAGGGGCTTAGGGCAAATTACCATTTGACCGGCAGTTAAAAATTTACCAAACCCTGTAAATCAACCTCGGAGTAGCGAATTGAACTAGTCAGCGATTTGCACAAGAATGCCCTTAACAATGAATATCAATTTCGCACTAATTGGCAATCTGCCGAATTTTTGCACCCGCAGGAATTCCGGCGTTTCTTTGCCCAGTTTAATTTATTTGCCTTTTTGTCTAAGACGGATTTTGGTAGATCCGAAGGTTTCAATTAATTAGGACGAGCCGGATTTATGGGCCTCATACGCAGATCTGGTTTTTATCTCTGTGAGAATTATGGTCCGTGTCTTCACTCTCTGGAATTATAATGCGACCATATATTTTCGCCGAAAATAGGTCTTATATTTAGATTAGATTTCGAACGTTTTCAACAGTGAATAAATTCGGTTTGACTCAGCCTTTTCCCGAAGACAAAAATGTATTTTGTTTACAGCTTGAAGTTTTACATAATTAACAAAGGCAAAGAAATATTTCTAAAACTCCACAGCAAAACCTGGACAGAAATAACACGTTAAGGGTAGATTGGAAATTAATTTGCCGAATGATGGGGAACAAGACATGAAAGCAACTGAAAATTATTCTGGACGACACAGTTTTTTGAATAAATTGAAATTATTTGGGAAGAGCTCAACAGCTCTTTTCTTCAAACACTTGCACGGTTTTGGAGGTGTTCTTGGCCCATTTTTTCAGTATCGAGACAGTGAAAATTACAGGAATAATATAAATAAACCACCGAATAAAAACCGCAACTTTCAGAATATTTGCTGTATCAAGATGCGGAAAATGCCACACTGGAATATCAGCAAATGAACTAGTGATGCGAGCCAGAGATTTGGTCTACCATCTTCATTGCTTCTCCTGCACTTTATGTGGCATCCCCCTATCAAAGGGCGACCATTTCGGAATAAGAGAAGGCCTGATATACTGCAGGTAAGTTCGGCTTGATAAATTAGGAAGTGAAATTGATGTCTGGCCTTAAATAGGTTGCACTATGAAATGATGGACACTTTCGACCCTCATGACACCCCTTTATTTTCGGGTGGCGAATCACCTGGTTACTACCCATCAAACACACCACCTCAAAGCCACAAAGGCAGGCCGAGGAAACGAAAACCGACAGTAGAAGACGCGTGTGGTGAAATTCCTGTCGGAATGCGGATGGCAGCTGCAACTTTGGGTAAGTTGAAGATTTGTCACTGCTCTTCATAAGCTCATACAGAAAGCTTCGTATGTTGCTTTTGCATTATGGCCAAATAAGCTCCAGCTTGTGTACAGGCACTTGGAAAAGGGATCCGAATAATGGCGTATCAACAATAGTTATAAATTCGAAGGGCTGATCATAAAACGCAGTGAAACAAAGAACGAAACAAACATAGAAAACATTTTATTGTATTTGCTCGTTAGAAGAAAAACGTCGGCACAATACTAAGAGGCACAATGCTATTGTTTACAAATGCAGGCGCTTTCGGTTTTAACAAGGTATCGAATGCGGATTTGGATCGGTCTAGTGAGGGTTTTTGATGTTGGCTTTGGACGAAACCAAGGGATTGGAAAAGGGTTGGAATATTGGAAGATATTTTATTTGCCAAAAAGTTCCTGGTTTCTTTTAACCTAAACACGCTGATGTAGAAAACTGCCGAGTTTTGCACACTAAACGACCGAAAAACTCAACAATTTCGCATTTGCGCTCACAAAAGCCATGGAAAGAATTTGATTACGCATAAAAAAGAACGCGTTTTTTTAAATACAATATTTTTCCTCTGTGTAGTAAAAATTTCAAATCGTTTGTTTAACAGGTTAAAAAAGTCAGCTAATACATGATGAATTCGTTAATTTTTTCATGAATATTTACAGATATGTTATCTATACGCTGCGAAAATTTCAAATTAATTGTTTGCCTGGTTTAAAAGTTATAAATATGTTTTAGAGCGTTACATCTGCTATTCATTGTTTCTTTTCAGGCTCGGATTTGGAAGGTTTTAAAAAACTATCGGCTTCCTATATTTACGGGATATTTTTCGAAACAATTATAAACGCTCTGGCTTTTGTGCTGTAAAAAATCCGGATAGAATTGATGAACGATTTCAAATTTTACAACAATTTTCTACAGCTTTGCATGATGTCCTGAGCGCTTCCATTCGGCTCGAGTTTTAAAGGTTTTGAAAAGGCCGCAATTTTTGACACTTGATTTCTTTCCAAATATTATCACATGCTTTTTATATGTACTGGCAAAATTCCAAACCAATTTTCTGTCTTTATTGGGATTTAGAAACATTTTTTGGAGCTCAATATGAACTCTTGAGCGAATCTGTTCGGGGTCTAGTTCAGACGGTTTTAAAAAATCAGTTCAATTATGGATCTGATAAGTTTCTATTTGAAAATTAATTTTGCTTGGGATTTTTTCTATGTGCTCTAAAAATTTCAAAGGGGTTCCTTTTGAGGTTTGAGATTTAGAATTATTTTTCTTGCTGTTTGCATGAGCTCTTCACTGTTTGTATGCAGGCTCGAGTTTGGAAAGTTCTGAAAAATCAGGGGTTTCCTGTATACAATTGATATTTTCCCGGAATGTTCTCAGACCCTTTTTCTAGGCGTTATAAAAATTTCATTTATATTTGGTGTCTGGCTTGAGATTTATAATTTTTTTCCTACAGCTTTACATGATTATAGCCTTTTTTTAGCCTCCAGATTTAAACGAAATATTAACGGTTTTCTTTAATTCTGTGCTTTTTCCAGAATTTTCTGAGACGCATTTTCTATGCGATGTGAAAATTCCACCTCAATTTGATGTCAGGTTTGAGATTTAGAAACATTTTTCTAATTGTTAACATGAGCACTTGAGTGTTTCTTTTCAGGCTCGCCCTGTTTGAAAGATTTTGAAAAAGCTTTAGGTTTTTGTGTGAATATTGTCAAATCCTCTTTTAGACGTGTTTAAAAATTCCTAGTGGATTTTCTTGAAAAATTTTTCTTAAGCGTTTCTTCTCAAGCTCGAGTTGTTTAAAAAAATCAACACTTTTTGATACTTATTTCTTTTCTCGAAATATTTTTAACACGCGATTTCTATGTGCTTAATTAAAAATCAGCAAATTTATGTATTCGATTGATCTTGTTTGCCAATATTCCTTGAGGTTTGTTCTATCTGCTCTAAAAATCTCCAAAGGAGTCCTTATCGGGCTTGAGAGTTAGACATAATTTTCCAGCGGCTTGGATGAGTTTTTTCCTGACTCTCTGCAGGCTCGAGTTAGGAAGGATTTAAAAAAATGTATTAAATTTTCTCCTGAATATTCTGAGACGCCTTTTCTATGTAAAAATTTCAAGTCGATTTTATGTCTGGCTTGAGATTTGTAAACCTTTTCTACAGCTTTTCATGGCCTCTTGAGTGTTCCTTTTTTGGCTTAAGCTTTGAAGGTTTCGAAATATCAGCAGTTTTCTTTCATTCATTAAGTTTTTAACAAAATTTTCTCAGACGCTCTTAGTATGTGCTGTAAAGATTCCAAATCGATTTTACGTCTGATTGAGGGTTTAGAAAAAAAATTCTAGAGCTTCGTATAAGCTCTTTAGTGTTTCTTTTCAGTTTCTAGTTGAGAAGGTTTTAAAGGATCAGTACTTTCATGCATTCGACTGAGCTTTCTGACAAATATTCCATGGCACTTATTCTATACGCTCTGAAAATTGCAGAAGGATTCGTTTCCCGGTTTGGAAGTAGAAATAATTTTTCCAACGGTTTGCTTGAGGTCTGTTTGCCTGTTTCTTTTCGGGCTTGACTTTGGCAGATTTAAAAACATCAATTTGTTAATGGATTTTACTGATTTTGCATAGAAATTTGTAGATACTCTTTCTATGTCCTCTAAAATTCCCAAATTAATATTATGTCTGGTTTCAGATTTAGAATTATTTTTTGCACAACTTTGAATAATCACTTCAGGCTCGAGTTTTGAAGAGTTTAAAAAATCAGCAGGTGAAAAAATCTCATTCATATTTTTATGTCTTGTTCGATAATATGAAACATTTTTCTAGAACTTTACTAGATCCCTTAAAAGTTTTGTTTCAGGATCGAGATTTGATGGTTTTTTTGAAAAAGCGATTTCTGTATTGAATTGTATTTTGTCTTGAATTTTTCGAGGCGCTTTTTTATGCGCTGCAAATATCGACTTCTAATTGATTTTACGTCTGGTTTGAAATATAAGGCCCTTTTTCTACAGCTTTGATCATATCTTGATATTTTCCTTTCAGCGAGATTTGTACGACCACAAATTTTTCTCTTTAAATAAACGAAACCGCCATTAATTCTTGGTTAGTGAAATATTTGTTTTGCATCCCTTGGTTGGCATATTTTTAATAGTAATTTCTGAATGAATTGATATAAACAGTCACTTTTTGGATCAGTTTCAAGAATGATTTTCCTTTTGCAATTCATAGAATGTACTCTCACGTAAACTAGAACGAACCAAATGACTGCAGCGTTTTATTTTTCGCCGGTCTCAAAGGGTGAAAAGAAATGCAATAAGAAACACTTTTAAAACCGGAAAAAGGTGCCGTTTTCCTTCTGGGAACGAGGTTGATTATGCTCTTGCTGAAAGTAGTGAAGAGATCAATTTTGCTTCAAATAGCTAGTTAGAAGAAGAAATATGTGTCCAGCATCAGGAGTTAAGTAGGTACAGTCAAAGTAGCTTTCAAATTCAAGGGAGCATCTTATGCCGCTCAAGGGTATTGAAAATGTGATTCTCGCATTTTCCTTTAATGATCCACGAATTTTTCTTTCGATTCTCGCCCTGGACGAAACAATTAATGTTCAAATTACACAAAGGAGACCTTCATGTTATCGGTTTGTTCAAGAAGCCATCGAAGGCAAATGCTGCCACCCGTCAGGCATTATTACTGGTAATTAAGGGCAGGTGTTACCAAGTAATAAATAATAGTCCTCTAATTATCCTAGCCGACGATAGGTCTACTTTTACAGAAATTCCTCGACGGCCATAACGTTTTTTAACCAATGAGCTACCGGACGGGACTTATCCAATAAGGATCTAAAGACACTTTTCAACTGTCAACCGTTTCGGCTTGACCACCCACCGAATCCTCGACCCAATAAATTACCCATCGATATAGGATCCATACTTGACTCTGCTCGCATTACATTGTTGGCCAATATCAGTGTTGGTAGCAGCATTGAAGAAATTACTTAGCCCAAAGAAGCTTGACGCACTAAGAAATCAGTTAGTTGAAAACACATTTTCTAAAGAAATCTGTTCTTGCATCCATAGAAGTGTTAACCAGACGTTTCGCCAGTTTGCACAGCAAACATATTCAACAGTAATTGCTCTAAAGCACGCAATAAAATGAGGCAATTTCGTCGACTCACTGAATATGGACTAACACGAATAATAAATGAATAAAATGGTGTTTTTGGGGTGAATCGGTTGGCAACATCGGAATAAATCATGATGCCGATTTAAAAATAAAGCCTCACGTTGGTTTTGGTTTTTTTTCGGTTTCTGGGAGCTCGATTGTAGTTTTAAAGTGCCGACAATAAATTTAAACAAATCGATGCATTTTAAATGGGCCTCGAACATCGTCACCCATTCGATTGGTTTCCGAAGATACTTAAAGCTATGTTTTCACCAAAAAAATAAATAAATAAACGACGATGGAATTAATTAGGTTTTTTGGGCAACCAGCTTTTATAGGCTTATCGTGTTACAAAGCATTGATGGACGAAGCTGAAATTAAACGGTTTCCACTGGTCAACTCAACGCAATAAAACACACGGAAAACGACCATTCCAGTGGCCAGAATTGAAAATAGATCTGTTAAAAGGTGATAAAGTCAAGAGCACTCCATGTGCCTGGACGGACAGGTGCTGTTCAATTGATTTAGTAAACGGTCTTTTTTTCGGGGAGAAAAACTTCTCTAGGCCCATTTTTCACTATCTCGATCATTTTATCTGAGAGAAGCGATAGGAACCGATGAAATATGGGGCTTTTAATAATAATGTTAACTGTTCAACGATAAAGAGGTGTGAAGACGGAAGAGAATCAAGTGCTGCCTGGTTCATGGGATTAATGAGGTTTTTTACTTTAGAGCATAAGAATTCGATGGATACAAGAGTGGAAGTTTATCGGATGTATTTTTGTCGTAGTTTCAGTTTTGCGGAAAACGGACGATTTTAGAACAATCTAATTGAAAATGTCTGGGTTTCAAGAGATGACGCATTTAAAACCGCCAGAATCATTCATTTATTGGTTCTTTAGTCAAATATATGATTTGTTTTCGCATTTTCAACGTTTTTGATCAGTCACGATCTTCAATCGATTATACCTTCCTTATTATGGGCGTAAACGGGCTAAACGTGCATATTGTGGGGCTTTTTAGGTCCAAAGCAATCCATTGAGCTAAAAAAGCACGCATGCTAAAAATTTTGATTTTTGATCGAAAATTTCATAAAAGGTAGAGGTGGATTTTTGTTTTAAATATAAATTTACCCTGAATGTCTCGAAATTTGTCATCATGTTCACCCTTGGGAAGCCAGGAGTGTACAAAACCAGGCTTCTTAAAAAACACGTTGGAGGCTCTAAATTCAAAATAATTAAAAATTTTGAAGTCTTTTAAGCGGTTTCGATCAGTCACGATCTGCAATCGATGATATTTTCCTTAATATGTATTTCGGAGCTTTCTAGGTCGAAAGTAATCCATTGAGCTGTAAAAACACGCATGCAAAACTTTTGATCCAAATTTTTATTAATAAGGTAAAGGTGGATTTTTTGAAAAAAATTGCAATTCTCTCAAAATGCCTCAAAATCTACATAATTTGCACCTTAAGAAAGCGAAGGATATAAAACGGCCATTAAAAAACAGCTAAAGAGTTTAAATTTCGAATRATTCAAGTTTTTGACCCATTTTGAGCATTTTTGATCATTCATGATTTTCAATCGATGACATCTTCCTTAAWATAGACTTAAACACGTTACATGYGCGTATTTCGAAGATTTTTTATGTCGAAAGTACGCGATTGAGCTTAAAAAACACGCATTCAAAATTTTGATTGTTTGATCGATAATTTTTGTGTAGATTTTTTGACAAATAGCAATTATCTCAAAATACATGAAAATCTACATAATTTGCATCTTAAGGAAGCGAGGAATATAAAACACGCATTAAAAAAGATGCTAGAGGCTTTAAATTCCGAATAATGTAAATTTTTCGCCCATTTTGAGCGTTTTTGATCATTCATGATCTTCAATCGATGACATCTCCCTTAATATAGACTTAAACACGTTATATGCGCGTATTTCGAAAAAATTTTATGTCGAAAGTAAGCCATTGCGCTTAAAAAACCAGGSATGCAAAATTTTGWTTTTTAATCGAAAATTTAGTAGGGTAGAGGTGGATTTTTTCTTACCCATTTTAAGCGCTTTTCACCATTCGAAGAAACGTAAAGCGTTAGCTSAAAATGCCTAAAAATCTACATCATTTTCAGCATATGCACGAGAGAAATGCAAGATGCTCATTGAAACACACGCATATATTTATATAAGACAAATTTTAAGCAAAGATGACTTCAAAAGTTCTTCAAGGCCTTAAATCTTGTCAGCCAAATACAAATTTAGCTCACTTGCAAAACTATGCAGGATAATTTGTATACTTATTAAAAGTAATGAATCCCTTAATCCCCAACAGCAGATTCGAAGAAATAATAAAAGAGCAAAAAGTTTCCAAAAGTGTTCACGTTAGACAGCAAAATGGCTTGAACAAAAATCTTGATTGCACCCGATTAAAACCTCCCTAGAACTTTTGCTTGTACGGCAGTTCCACATAAATCAATTTAACGTATTCTTGCTTCACTCTCCATTCAATTCCCACTACTTATATCAAAACGGAGATACATATGTATGGCAAATAAGGTACATAAGAGCCCTGGTATGTTTGTGAGCACTTAAACACGTCTATCAGATATAGAAAAATAGACAACGGTGCACGTTGTACTCGGAGGGAAAAGCCCTCGCCAGTGGAGCTCGAGTGCACTTCAACCTGGGGATTTTCTGCAAATATAATTAATTTTGCACCGAAATGGTTCAAATATTTTCGACAATTCATTGCCAGTGTGTTTGAGCATGGAGGAGGTCTGATTACGATTTTCCCTTTGTATTTATTTGTGATTTTGTGGCTTTTTCAGAAATGCTTCATCAGGGCGATTTATCGTCCTCCATGGAGTCCCTCTCGTATGACTCCTCGGTTACATCGCCTGCTTCAAGCAACGGACATCAAAGCCAAAGAACTAAAAGGTAGGTTCAAACTGTCCTTAAAGTGGGATTGTTTGCAACGCATTTATCTTTCCAGAATGCGAACTTCCTTCAAACACCATCAGCTGAGAACGATGAAAACGTACTTTGCAATCAACCAAAATCCGGACGCCAAGGACTTGAAACAACTCGCCCAAAAAACTGGCCTGTCCAAACGCGTTCTTCAGGTACAAGTTTTCTCTTTATAAGCTGGTTGTTCTTCAGAGGAAATAACAGCAAAATGCTTTTCGGTAGGTTTGGTTTCAAAACGCGCGAGCCAAATGGCGAAGAAATCTGATGCGACAAGAAGGAACTCAGGGAAATAACAACAACAACAACAACATCCAATCAACTGGACCAAGCAGTTCCCCAACTGGTTCAGCCATTCTGGAGAACAGCCTGTCGCATCAAAGTCTGGAAGACTTGCACCATCATCTACATAATCAGAACTCGCAAAGTTTAGCATTTAGCGATATCTACTAAAATGCATTAGTTGCGGCCGAATGGGCCCCGAACGAATCATTCCAAATTGCAAAGTTTGCATTTTTTTGTTATTTATTGTTCGCATCAGTTTGGACTTTTGTGCAATGTTTTGCCAGGTTTGTGCACTAATCAAACGAATGTCGCTCTAGTGAGCTGTGTTATTCATACCGTGTAAATACAAAATAGACAAGCTTAGGTGAAGTGTGAACACATTTAAACAATTTGTTTTTGTAAATATATTTAGTACGAACTGAACAGAATTTTTTATCCATTATTCCTGCCTATTGCTCTGCAGGATTCAGATTTTTTTGCGGGGTAATTTTTTGGCAATTACCAGTTCAATCACGATGACAGTGAAAAAACTTAATTTTGAAACTGAAAATGGCCAACAAAGTCAACACATATCTTGTAGCCGTTACAATTATAGAAGGAAGACACTTTATTTGGGACAACATGAATTCCGCAGTCATTGTGCGAGTGGCCAATAAGAAAAAATGCACTTCAGTCCAGAAATTTACGGATTGTCCCTTTTACAATGAGGTAAGCAGCGCAAATGCGGACAAGTAATACACAACAGAGAATTGATAGTGAAACAGAAAAATATTGAAGAAAAATGCTAACATTCTAAGAAGAAAAGCCAGGAAAAATATTTTTTTAAACGCAAATATTAGACCTTAGGAAAGTTCTTACCGTAAAAATAACCTTCAGTGTTTCCAACCACTTTTTTAAACCGAACAGCAATTAAAAACTACAAAATTTTACAATTAACTAAATTAATTTGTATAAAGAACGAGTGTTTTGTTCAAGTTATGGAATTAGATAGTCAAAACTAGCTTGGATACAGTTTTGTGGACTAAAATTATTGTCATTTTCTCTTGGAAGATTCACTTGCAAGGTTGCAAATAAGCAGAACATTTAAAAAATATGTTTAAACGTACATTTCTGATACCGTGTTAAAACTCGGTTTTAGTTACAATCAGGATGAAAAATCGAATTCCAATATAAATGGAAAAAGTATTTTTTACACACTAAATTAAAAATCAAAATAAAAAAATAGCTAATAGATTCTCACAAAATTACTGTTTTTTCTGAAAAGCATTCTAGACGTATTGCAGGAGCGGCGCTTTATACGATTATTGAACGCCTTCGTCAGTTCAGAGCTGCTTCAGCAATTCCTGCAGAACTCGCAACCATGCCTTAAAAATTTTCAAAATGTAACAATTTTCAAAAAACTACCGAGAAAGGCTTCTAAAAAGCCCATTTGGTTCTCTCTAGAATCATGTAAAAATGAGCGTTTTTGCGCATTTTGCTTCCGAGAAATGAGCAAAAACGATACGGAAAACATCTGCACAAGCGAGCAGCATAAAAGCTATAAAAAAACTAAAAACTCTGGTTGCCATCTACTTTTGCAAGGTAAAATGCTGTCCGATTCTAGATCGCTGAAATTCCATAAATCCGATTTTTTTTCTAAAAACTGATCGCAATTTAGTGACTTCAAATTTAAAAGAACCGCCGCAAGGGCTGGACACCAAAAAAAAAACTAAAGTGTGAAATTTGGAAAAACAGCGCAAAATCAGGAAAGCCAGGAGCATTTGCAACTGTTTAAGGCGCCGATAAACCACTAAAATTAATAATTGCATTTTGCATCCCGTTAGGCACTTTATGGTTGAGTTGGAGGTTTGAGTAGCTTTAAAAACTGCAAAAATTGAAATTGCAACAGCAAAATCCTAATAAGTCGATACCTCGCACCGTTTTCGCAATATTTCACATTGAAACCTCCCTGGGCACATTAGTTGAGGACCACGCTGTATAAATCGTTACGCATTTCGGATAGTGTTGGTCTCAGACACCCCAGAGCCAGTTTCGACCCATTAGCTGCCATCAGCCGGGTTTAGCCTGCAAATAACGCTCCCGACACCTGCACGTTATTCCGTCCAAGTATTGTACTTCTACGTAAAATGAGTGTTATTTTCAGGCTAAACCCGACTGATGGAAGCTAGTAGGCTCGAAACCGGTCCTGGAAGGGCCTGGGATTAAAACACTTCAGATCTGAGCAAAAAATATGTTTCTTTGCGTTGTTTACCTGTTTTGAAATGTTGAACTTAACAAGCTCTTGGTTTAATTTGATTTACTCAATTTTTTCCTGGGAATTTTGCAGTATTTCGTGTTCGAGCTACATTCCACCTATGAGAAGCTTCTGGAAAAAGCAATTACCATAACGGTACCCTGACAGCTCCAAACTATCCCAAAATGACTGAACTTCGTAAATGTTTTCAGGTGATCCAGCCGAGGACTTTTTGCAGAAAACGCAAAATTCTCGGCAGCGTCAAGCTGGATGTCGCCACTGTAATGAACCAGAAAAGTATACGTTAAAACAGTGCAAAATCAGGGAAAATCAAATTTCCGGTTTTAGACTGCCAGTTCTACCATAGATGGGCAGTTCTGGCCAGTCCAAAAGCGGATGTTGCCAGCGGCCCGACTGGCTACGTAAAACTGGACATCACAATTTTAGCCAGAGGCCAAACTCCCAAACTTCCACTTCACATTGCCAACGACGAAATCGAAGGGTGATTGAATAAGTGGGATTTTCTTTTTGGCAAAACTCATGAACAAATTTCAGCAATTTGCTCACTCCAATGACTTTCGTCGGAGAGCGGCAAAGAGCTAAGTTCACTTTCAACATCTATCGATGCGAGCACTTACATGCGAAGATCCTGCAATTTATCGATCCAATTCCCGGAAAACACAGTGCGGCAATTGATATAAAACCTTCCAGTCATGTTACTGTAAGCTTTGCTGGATCAGTTGTAAGTGCAACTTCTTCCCTATCCTCATTTTCATTTGCTCCTCTCTTCTTCGCCTATTCGGATAAATAATATACATTTAGGCCAATACCACTAAAAGAAAAGGGACAGCAGATCCTGTTTTCAATGAAAAACTCACCATAACTGATCTGTTCCCCCCTCTATGCCAAAGAGTCAAGCTGGAGATTTGCTTTAATGGAATTAAAAAATCCGTTCAAGCTGTCCATTTTTTGAACTTAAAGCACATTTCCAATGACACAGTTGAGGGTAAGTGCCTTCACCGCTTTCCTCCTTCCGCTACTCACTCTTTTGTTGAGGATTCCTGCCCACATTCGGACCAGCCTACATCTACCTTTACTCCAAGCAAATCCTCGAAGGTTACGCGGGTACCATTCTGATGTCCATGCGAACTGAGTTTCTGGACGACACAATCGCCTCAAGTGCGGCCCACAAAACCAGCATCCAGCATGGAATTGCCGCTTTAAATGAAGTATTTTGCGCGTTAATCGGCGAATAGATGAGCTCAAACACTGATTTGCAGGAAAACTTGTTTTCCTTCGAACAAGTGTTTTTGTTTGCTGCTATTTTCGAGGCCAACTGCATATCGAAGAAATACAGCGACAAGCTGGTGTCTTTCAGGATCACTTTGGGAAGCATTTGCTCTGAGTTGAACCTCAGAGGAGGATTGGGCGATGAAGTGCCAGCCAATGTTACCATTGGTAAGTGCCGATGAAGACCTAAAAAATTGGCTTTGAGAACTGCTGTAGCCGACTTTTCCTAGGTCAAAAGCCAATGAAAACCGGAAAAAACTTCTACTACCTCAACTTCGCCGAAGAAAAACCTTGCTTATCGTTGCGATCCAAATGGCCGGATTTCAGGAAGCGAATGTACCATTCGAACATGTTGGAGAAAATCGCGAAAACTTTGGTAAAACAATAATTCGACAACGAAAACTTGCCTCCAAAGGCTGGTTCTTCCAGAAAACTCGCTTGGAAGAAATTGAACTGATGTTCACCAAAACATCTTCAGCACTAATCGAAGATCGCCTGAAGGAAACTATCGATATTTTATTCACCATGGCCAAGAAATACGTGGAAGTGATCACGGTCAGTTATGACTTTGACTATGGAAGTCCCTTGGACAAGGAAAGAACTCAAATGTGCCTGAGAAGCATGGTAAATTTTTATGAAACTCAGCAACTTTTTAGGCCAGTTTATGGGTTCTAGAACGGCATTCTTGACCGTCTGCAGTTCTTGCAAGCGAACAAATCGAAGAAATTAATTTTCCGCCACTTGGACGATATTCAAAAGAAACTAGAGGCGCTGGTAGAAGATGTACGCAGTTTAGGGCTTTAAAACCATTAAAACCCACTAAGTTCCATTGCAGGCCCAACCCTGCTGGCCAGACGTGTTCCTGTGGATGACCTGCGGCAACAAGAAAGTCGGTTGCTTAAGAATCCCGGCTCGGGAGATTGTTTTTTCGCCTGTTGAAGAGGAAATTGGGCAATTTTGCGGAAAGATTACACCGAGACTTTTTATGGTAGACGAATCTAACAAATTCATTAGTTTATACTTCTTGGGGTCGCAAAAAAATTTAACGGCGGGTGCCTGATGTGAAAATAATACTTACCTTAGAAGAAAAGTCAAAGAAAGCGAAAATACAGAGGAGCAAAGTTTTTGTTTTTGTTGACTTTTCGTCTAAGCCAGGTTGTGATAAATCGTACTGTTTTGACCCCAGCAATCTGATTTTTTTGCGATAATTTATGAGACACCCTGTATATCCAGCTAGAAGATAAAAACGCCATTATATGCAAAATCGAGCTCCTAATGTGGGCCGGATTGGAAAAGCAGCAGCAGGATTGTTTCAACTTATTGCCCAAAGGCTTCAAGTATGAAGGAAGACAACTCGTGGCTGAAGAGAAGCACGTAAGAACTTTGAAGGTTTAGGGCTTGGCTTAAGGGTGTTCATTTTCTGAAAAATCCAGCTTTTTGAAGGCAAAGCCTACATTTTTGAGGGCGAAATTCAGCCGGGGTTTGATGAGAGCGGTCTAGTCGATCCGTTCGTTCAAGTGTGCCTGAACAAAGAACTCAAGGAAACTCAGGTAAACACTCGTAAAATCCTGCTTCAATGAAGCACATTTGAATTCACAACAGGTAAAGAAGAATGTTTTGGTGCCAGTTTGGGACCAAACGCTAACATTCCACAACGTCTGCCTGCACGGGGCCCGAGAGCACATTATCCAGAACCCGCCCAGTATTTTGGTGCAAATGTTCGACCAAGATCCGGTAGGTTTTGAGCAGATCGACATCCAGAAACTCAGCAAGTTATTTGCAGTTATCAGTTGAGTTCGTCGGAAGAACAATTGTAAGGCCAAACATGCGGCTTCTGGATGGAACATCTGAGCTGAAGACTACTCAAGACACCAAGTTGGCTTATCATTATTTACGAAGCAGGGAGGAGGTACTGGGAGAGGTTTTAGCTGCATTTGAACTGATAGAGGTGAAGAATCTTTCGAACAAAACTTGTCCGAAAATGCTTGGAAATTTGCGAAATTATCAAGGGATGTCTTTTTTCTAAATGGTTGCAGATTAGCCAACCGACTCAAGCTGCGTTCGAAGACCAATTAGTGGCGATTCCCTCGTATCTTAAGCCACGGATCGAATCATACAGGGTGGAGGTGCTGTTTTGGGGAGTGCGGAATTTGAAAAAAGTGAATCTCATCAGGATAAATCGACCGAAAATCACCTTTTACTGCGGCAACAAAACCCTCGAATCGCAGGTGATGGAGAACGCAAGAAAATACTCAAACTTTATCAAAAATACTGGAGTTTTGGATGTGGTGAGTCTGCTAAAATTGCATATGAGAAAGAAAGAATTGAAAGACACTGAAAAAATAATAAAGTTTTTTATACCTTTGTCAGAACATGGCATCCCAAGAGGAGTATCCAGAAGCCTTCCAGTTCAAGCTGTTTGATAGCCGCAAATTTGGAGTCTACGTCTTTGCTGGTATCAGCATTAGTGACACCGCCCCCTTTCTATTTAAGCCAATGACCGTTGAGGAACGACTCAATCTACTGAGCCAATACAAGTCCAGCAGTTTGGCCATGCACAGCGTTACAAGTAAACCCGCACCATCTGAAGAAATCGCACTTGACGCCACTCTTTTCCAGGTTCGGAGGTTTTCGTCGATAACTGGGACTTGGCGTTGAGGAACCTGAACGAAGACAAACCAGTTGAAGAATCTGCAGCGAAAAGATGCTGCAAAGCGCTGTGGAAGTGCCTGAAGTGTTTTGGTGGGCGCCGGCAGCCTTTTAAGAAGTCCAAGAGCGACTATTCCTTGCTGTCCTCTGAAGACCTGGAAGAAGACTACAGTGACTTTGACTGGTGGACTAAGTTCTACGCTTCAATCGATGTGAGGGAACTTTCAGTTGTCTCCAATTAGTTGGATTCGTTTTTTTTGTAGGAGCATGCGAAGGGCGGTAAGAAGGAGCAAATTCCACCTGCTCATCGCAACATGCTCAAGGTTTACGCCAACGAACTGGAAAACCAACCAGAATTTCAAGGATTCTCGGACATGTTAACGAGTTTCGAGATTTTCAAAGGGAAACGGACTGGGGATGAGTTATTGGACGAGCAACTGACTACGGCCGTGTTCAAGGGGTAAAAGCACGCCAATTTGGAGATTCCTCCAGTTAATTAGACGTTGGAGCAGATCGGTGAAGATTTACCAGTGGCCTCCGGAGGACGGCGATGTGGACAAGTACGTGACTCCTAATGGCACGTTGGTGAAGAATGGCATCTTTTGCAACTACCCGCCTAATGCTCCTGTGCAATACATTTTGAGGTAGCGCGCGGTTTTAGAGGATAATCTTGGTCTGGAGCTTTGGTTTTTTTTTGGAAAATCATTCCAGAATTTATTGCGTTCGCGCTATCAATTTGCGACCCAAAGACCTGAACGGAAAGTCCGATCCCTACATACAAATCCAGCTGGGAGCCAAACTGGTCTCAGACAGGGAAAATTACATCCCTAAAGATGTAAATCCCATATTCGGCAGGTAATCGCAAGCATCCACACAGTGGATTAATAAAACGTTCAGATGCTTTGAGTTCCAGGCCTCTTTCCCCGAAACCACTTCGGTTACCGTCAAAGTTTCCGACTACGATACGACTTCTGCAGACGATCTGATTGGCGAAACGAAAATCGACCTGGAAAATCGATTCTACACAAAGCATGGGGCGCGATGCGGATTGGCCGAGTCCTATTTTGAGTAAGCCTTAGACCGGAATAGTTTGGTTGATTTGATTTAGTGTTCAGCTCAGGGTACTGTCGATGGCGCGACCAGAAGAAACCCACTGAAATCTTGGCGATTTTGTGCAAAAAATGGGGCATCGAAGAGCCGATTTACAGCGACAAATGTGTTACAGTGAATGGAAAAGAATTCGCTCCAGTGGAGGTGAAATGTAAGTGATGGAGGAGTGGATATTTTTGAGGCCAATATTGATTTTTTTTTTGAAAATACTCTGTGTCTGTTCCACCTTAAATTATAGCAAAAAATAATTATTATGATATTCTTATCTTTCCTGGGTCTCAGTCAAAGTGTGAAGTAAAAATTTTGAATATCGTCTATTTCATTACGTTTCGGCGAGACAACAGCGCCATCATCAGATTTAAAATTTACACAAACTCATGATTGGTAAAAATCAACGTTCTTTT